TCCAGTCGAACGTGTACGGACGATATAGAGAAATTACCACGGAATAGAGAGCAGGCGAGAAGAAAGAGCCGATAGCGCCGTACAGTGCGGGCAGCTCTTCTCCAGTCGTGGTCATGTTCACGGCCCCATACATTGACTTGGCCGTGGCGAGCCAAATGGCGAGACCAGTAAAGAAGCCAAGCACTGGCGAAGCGATAGCGGCGAGGCGCGTCTGGCGGGACCAGAACAGAGTCAGTCCGAGAGGGATGATCCCTGGACAGGACAGAATAGGCCGAAAGTAGCCGATCCACGTCATATTGGCGCCCCCGTAGTTGAGAGCAATGGAAATTCCGGTAATAAAGATGGCATGGAATACGACTGTTATGTGACTAACTCCCAGGAGCCGGCGATCACTGGCTTGGGGGTTGATGTACGTCTTGTACATATCAAACGACAGAATACTGCTGACGGCGATCATTGAGGATGAGACGGTGCTGGTCAATGCCATGAATAATAGCACGAAAAAGGCGATCATTCCAGACTCTCCAAGAAGGGCTTTGACCAGGTACGGCATCACCATGCCTTTGCTGACCTCAGTTGTCGTGATATCAACGGGATAGGTGGGCCAGATGGGAGTGTGATGGAGCGCTCGAGCAGTCAGGCCAATAACAGTGCCTAAACCCCAGGGGATACCAAAGACAGCTATGGCAGCCAAGTTGTATGCCGGTACGGTAGAATTCACTTCACTGGCGAAGGACTTTTGCCAAAACGCAGTGTCCTATATCAGAGTGAGTCTTAATGTTTGCCATATAGCTGGAGGAAAGGAATGGATGGGCCTACCATAACTACCAGAGCTAGATTACCGAATTTCAAGATCAAGCCCCAGATAATGGCGCCTTTCGATTTCATTGTGAGCAGCGATCCCTCAAAGTTCCCGGAGATGTAATTTTCGCTCGCAGTTGCGACAACCTTGTCGTAAAGTCCAGCCAATCCGCCAACCTCAGGATGTGTGAGGACGGAGAGAGTAAAATAAATTATCAGAATTAAGGCGACTGCGGTGTGCAGAAAGTCGGTCAGAAACGTCGCCTTCAGCCCCCCGACAGCCGTGTAAAGAACAACTTTGCCATAATTTGTCAGTATAATATCCTGTGATATTCAATGACCGAGCTTACCTCCTAGTGGAATCAAGATGGTCGCAGCAACGAAGTTCATGCCGGAAACACCATTAATCAACTGGGATCCGGTTAAGATCATCGAGGCACAGCCAAACACGTTGTTCGTCAAATTCAAGACCATGTAGATAACATGTCCGATCCAGCCGTACCGCATACGAGTAATCTCAAGCGATGTGTGGGCATACGGGACCCGGATTTTGGCCATGACACCCAAGGCAGCCATCAAGGCGATCTGGAAACAGAGACCTGATCCCCACCACTGTATGAGTGATACATATCAGCATCTGACATAACTAAAATTAAAGGCTTTAAACATACTAGCGGTACTGCCAATCCATAGCGATAGCACATCGCCGCAGATAGCACCGTCTCGTTGATCCACATCCACGAGGAGAACACAGCAGACGCAGTCAAACCTGTGCCAACTGATCGATTTGCGACCATGAACATCTCCGACGTGCCAGAATCCTCAGACAGATACACTTTCTGCACCTTGATTGCGATAAGAATCACCCCGCAGAAGAACACACCAAGGCCGATAAGGAGGCCATAGGCCGTCCCTTGCGTAACGAGTTCGACAGCTGCCATGGTGACCAATGCGCTACGCGGCAAAAATGACCATCAGCCCTCGGGTTGCCGAGGAAGTTACATGGATGCCAGGCATCATGTCTTAAGTATCTGCTGGATGAGCACCATGCCTAGCGGCTCGCCGATAACCGTCAGTGTCACGCTGTTCTTGGCTATGATGGCGTTATACATAACCCGGCCGAGAACAGGGCGGGGAAGCTACAAGGATGCAGCTGTGAGCCGCTTAATACGGCATTGGTTTCACGGTGGATGAACTGAGTTGCTAGACAGAGATCGGGTGGCCCCTTGCTGGTGGGAGGGGATATGGCGTGCGCCCTGCCGCCGATGGCAACACCAGCGGGAGAAGATCTGATAGGCTTTGTCGGCCAGTAGCGTATCTAAATGACCTAGACCTTACTTTGAATTGGCTGGCCAGGAGTGAAGATCCAAGCACCCAATGGTGCAGAAAGATCACGCATGCTGGTTCTTCATCTCGACTGTTCTTATGCTTCTATTGGAGCCTGAGGCAGAAAGGCATGGCATCATCAGGGCAATGAACAGAACTCCACAGAGGCCGACGCATGCAAAATGACACGTACAGAGTATGTTTGTAGCTTACATTTCAGTCTGTATATTGCGGCTGTTAGCTTAAAGTAGGTCGCAGATGTCCAGTTTCAGCTGGGGCTATAGTTGACTGTTACAAATCCCAATGAGGTTCTTGTGAAGCGATATAATGGAGAAGATCTCAGGCGCAGCCTGACTGATAAGGCAGTCAGATGGGTCGGGCCGGGTTACTCCGACCACTGTTCGATAAACAGTCACGTGTCAGTAATCTTATCGCCACTATCTTATCGCTAAATTGACTCCCTTGGAGCTCATCATCGAATAGTTAAGACTTTGCCTGTCTGATATGGATTGTGCCAATATTCAAACAAGTATTCTTTCAAAAGATTAGTACTCACTCCTATTTCCCGAGCTATAGTGCATACCAGTTGACCGAAGCTGAAGCTCCATCATCATGATGCTACTAAATGAATCACCATCGTCGTAATGTGTTAAGAATATATATCTTCAGTAGTACTACTTTAGCTCAATAATGGTCCTACTCGACCAGGCTTCATCACATAGAAGATGTACTAGTACTTCATGCAAGTCACGACGAGACGAGACTCTTTTAAAATACCCAAGGAGCCATCCCTCTCAATTTGGGACGAGTTGACCATAATTATCTCCAAGATAGACGCGCTGTTTACTGGTCAACAATGACACCAAAATCCGACGGTCAGCCAAGTAAGAGGGGGAGGGGCATTAACCGCCGATCATCGGTGATTTATTCCAGATATCTATTTCCCTTTACAAGAACCACCCCTCTAGCACTGACTATATATAGCTATATTATCTATCGAACAAACTGAACCCTTCTATCATATATCAAACTAAACAGACGCCGCAACCGCCTTATCAACCACCGCCGCAATCTTTCCCACCAACATCTCCGGCTCACTCAGCATCGGCGAATGACCCGCGCTACAGCGATCAATCTCCGCCCGGGCCAACTTAGCAAACCCGCCCTGAAATGTAGCCGGTGCAGCCTGATCACCCTCACAGATGAGATAGGTAGATGGAAGATACTCATACGCCGCCCGAGTGGTGGGCGTGGTTTGTACCAAGTAAGACTGCGGAATGAGGCGCGATTCCCACAGGGCTGCTTCGGCGTCTGGGAGATCACTGTACAGAGTTTTGGCTCCGTTCATGATACGGAAGCGGCCGTCGGACTAAAAGCAAGAAATTAAGCTGGTCCTCAAGGTATTAAACGGATTGGATAATGGAAAAACATACGGTTACATAATTGTTTGGCGACTCTCCAAATGTTGATACGACGGATGTGCCCTCTGGTAGAACAAAGGCAGCATAGTAGAAAAGATGTAAAACACCGCCCTTCTTGCCCTTTGCTTGACGGGAAGTATAGGCGAGGGACTGGGGAATAGCGGTACTGCCCACGATGCCACCGTATGAATGCATTACAACGACGACGGATCTTTCCTCTTTTTCGATGAGCTGCTGTAATGTTTCGGCGACGGTGCGTGTGTCGTCTTCCATTGTGCGGGTTGGGAAGTCATCGGCCTCTACGTCGGTGCAGCTGGGGAGGGTTGGGTGGATGACGGGGTATCCTAGGTCGCGAAGTCCCGCTGCTAACTTGGCGTAAACGAGGGGGGTCTGAAAAGAGCCTTGGATGAGTACGATCGAGGGTTTCTCGGTAGCCATTGTATTCGGGGAATTTAATCCTTGTGTAATTTGGGTTGTAAGTGGTTGTTGGTAGAAGTGAGAACAAGAAGTTCGAAATGGGGAAAAATATAAGCGCGCCCGGGCACTAGTTTAAAGACAGCCCTTGGTTGAGTGGCATCCTGGGCTGATCATCCCTGCTGATTCCGTTACAGTTCGCCGATCGGCAGACTCCATCGGAGAATAATCGCTCCCTGCGGTTGATGTATAAGATGTTATCTGTTTAATCCTAATAGGCACTTCAGGTTCAAACTTCCTCAACATACAGCAGGAACCTCCCATTTCACTCATGGATATGTCAAAAACCCGGACCAACAATCAAAATACACCTGCATTAAGCATACCTGCTAAACTAGACATCTCCAGCGCCCTCCTTAGATCAAGTATATCCCATTTCTCCCGAAAACTGTCCAATTCCACCTCACCAAATGTACGGTCCCCTTCCATCTCCGACAACGAACTAGAATTCGGAAAAAGGCTGCAAAACTGGTCTCGAAGGCCCTCACTCCCCTATCTTCTGAAAGCACAGAAGGCAGGCATAAGTCTTCGGCGGAAGCGTAATCTCATTCTTTTGTGGAGACACCTACAACATCCGCAAAATCACCTTCATAAGAGTCCAGTTTCGAGACAAGGCACAAGAGATGACACAAAGTTCAGTGAAGGCGCTGCAATGGTCACTGTTGTCAAGTTCCTCTGCGAGAGTGAAGAGGGCCATACCTACCCAGTGAATGGTCGTCGGTGAAATGTCATCTGGTCCCCACCGGGTGCGACGAATGTATAGAAAGTCGATGATTGCTAAGGCGGAATCCATGCAGCCTTCCTTGCTCCCTCGCGGGCTACCTTGAGATTATTTTTACCGCTCGTGTCTTCCTTCTTGACAAGGCTCCAAAACATGATCACCACCGCGTGATAGAGCATACTGGATGCAGGTAATCTGGTTAGTAGAACGATAATAAAAGTCCATGCTGTTGTCGGTTTCGGGTTGGGTTATGATTCTTACTGCAAACTCAACGATTGAGGAACAGTGGGGTTGTCGGGGGTTAGGCATGTAGGAAGTTTGCTCTTCCAGTCGTCTAGCCGTTTCTGGATATCTTTCAGGGCCCTTTCCAGTTCATCGCGCGGTGACTTGAGGCCGCTCGCGAACACGAGTCGATTCGCATCCACGTTGATCTCACTTAGCGCAGTGAACCTGTTCAGCACGCAAGGGATGTGGGATTGAACTGGATCCATTTGCCGGGGGTACGCGGCCCAGATATCTTCCTGGGAATGATCATTGGCCATATGCTTCATGAGCGAGATTGATGCCGTTCTAGAAAATAGCTTAGGGTTGAAAGGTGCTCGCAGCCAGATGTGAGCAGACTTACGCTGTAAGATTGTAGATGCCCCAGATGGTATTGTCAATTGCGCGACTTTCCCTGGTAGGGGTCGTGGACGGCGAGTCAAGATGCTTCTTAACGCATTCCTCAACTATGCTGCGAACTTGACCGAGATACCACCAGCCCATGCGATCTTTTCCCATAGCCGCCATACTGGATAGTGAGGTTTAATGACGGGACAAGTGATCTAGTTGGGAATTAGCTCACCACACGAACAGCACCCCGCAGCCTTGGATGGATGGCATGTCAAGCCGACCCTCTATCTTCTCGTAGAGCTTCCGCGCTTCCTCGTAAAAATGGACGCCTTTCGAATTTGGATTACTCGGGTCAGCATAAGCCTCCGGATAGTCGGAGTGATACTAGGTTCGCCAATTAGCGGACCACAAACAAACGCTCTGTGATACTCGTGAGCTTACGCATGCCTCGGCCAGAATGCAGTTCACAAGGAATGGAGAACAAAATTGCGAATTCGTCTTTCCTGCCACAGCGTCACGAAGAAAGAGCTCCCGATCAATCCAGTTATAGAAGGGATGACTTCAGGTCAACCATAAGGATGTTAGATGAGATACAAAATCGTCACTTTCAGTGACCGAGGTCCACGGGGCCGCTGAAATACGATAGATGGGTATATCTACGAGATGCTGGATATTCGGCGCTCGATGCGAGGACGTTTGTTTTCTCTCATTTCCCAGCATCGGCGTCTGATTGTCGATTCCAGCCAAGGTCGGCGTGGTTTCTCGATCAAGCTCCGAAATGTCGTTATCTATGTGAAGTTTGACTTCGCTGAGTGGAGCCTTACTTCGCATGAGGTTGAAAACTTGCATAGCCTTGGAGTCAGAGCTATTTTGCAGTGTCTTGACTAGCTGCAGCAAGTCATCACGCTCTTCCTCCAGCTTTACAATCTTCCGTTTGTCCGCCAGCTTCCGCCGCTTGTCTTCTTCCAAGTCGAATACACACGAAAGGCGACGTTCGGTACACCGGTCACACAGGGAGGCGCCTTCTCTAATTTGACACTGCCACGGTTCAGCATCTGTGGTAAAATATCTAGGGATTGTGAAGAATTGCTGCTACCCGCGCCTTAGTTCGTTTGCACTCCCGGCATGCTGTTGATGCCTTGCGAAGCCGAGGGACCGAGGCGTTAGGGGTAGAGGAAGGGTTGGAGGTAACTGGGCGCAGTGGAGCTGGAGCGATGGGCTGCATTATGGCGATATTGGGAAGTATTGAAGGTTAACGGTGGGGTCGGCAAGGAAGTTTCAGTGGTCTTTATCAATACTATGGAGAGATAGTTGGAGTGGGGTTGGTGCTGGTGATACAGGGACAACTCTGTGAACCAAGGGGGGTGGTGGAACGGCGCCGGATAATTCAGCCGCCCATAAAAGCTGGTTTTTCCATCTTGACAGATATGGATCCCTCCACTGTGCATGGGTCAATTGCAAGCTGCTGATTGGGTTGATGATCATGTAGGGTTTGCATTAGTAGCCTATTGTCGGTGACGCTGGCGGTACCATAATGCCCATCCCGACCGCCTCGAAGCATCAGTTATGGCCGGGAGGTTCCATGGCAAAGCACAAGGACATCCTGTAAAAGCAGTCCGTTGATCATATTCCCATAAGCGGACGTGGCTCTCATAAGTTAAACATCCGATAGGCAATATTCAGTGAATATAAAATTCATAAACCTGGACACGCACTTGTCAATTTGTCATGGATAAATCCAATAGTCAGGCTTCTCGTTGTCGCACTGGTTCGAGGACAGACCATGTGCCTATAAGGACATGGGTGCTGCCTCCCTGATGGCTTATCAGAGCTAATTGTGAATTGCGTGTCATTGCGTATGCACTTCTATGTCTTCTCATGAACCAGGTAGGTGGCTGTAATCACTGATAATCTGCTCATACACAGGCAATTCTCACACTTATACATGAAAGGCTCGGTATATTCCAAATACTTCATTTATAAATCCTCTCATGAGTCACTCTATCTGATAAATAATAAATATTAGCATTAACATATGTACAGGAAGCCTTTGAGGACTGACCCGTTATAAAGGTTTCGATGGGTCGTCACCTACTAGATTTTTCCATGTCACTGACTGCACATCCAAAAGGACAAGGCTCTTTATAACGACCAACCTGAATCAGCAGTTCCTTTTGTGTGATAAACAATCCCACCAAGACTACAATCCCACCGAGACTACAATCCCACCGAGACTACGATCTTACCGAGACTATCATCACCACTAGTCACATCTCCACGATCTAAAACAACAGAATGTCCGAATTGTATCGCCTAGATCAGCCAAATTGTGAAGTTGTGCGCTGGGCCGAGCGCTTAAAACAGATCCTCACGCAAAAACACAACCCCATCACCCAGTCCGAGACCCAAAGCGGCTTCCACCCACTCAAGTACAATATCGTTCTTGAAAGAAGGATTTTCGAAGATAAGAGCCCTTATGAGGTCTGTAAAATTGTGCACCACGATTACAATGAAATCATTATTGTCGTCGGTTGCAGTAAAACGCCTAACACCAAGCTCCCCACATCTGTGTGGTTGGACGCAAGAGCGCACGAATTGTGTGCTGAGACTGACTCGAGATTGCCGTCTGATAAAGGTCTCTATGTTGCAAAGGTGTGGCTGGGTCACGTACACTTTTTCAGGGCTGTGCGTTCATATGGTGGTTGTTATGCTATGCATCCCATTGTCAAGGGAGACAGATGGCTACTGGATGGAGATACCGATTTGGTCTATGATATCTTGAATGAGATCAGAGCGCAGTTTGGCTTCCCTCCACTTCATGAGCCTTTTGTGCAGCTGAGCTCGTTGGAGAACTATCAAGTTCTTGCGGAGACCTCCAGGATCATGTCTGAGTCTGACCCGAAGGTTGATTATCGTGATTGGTTCACTGATACCGATTATGAGGGAAATACTGTGGTTGATAATCAGGTGTAAAAGGAGCACTGAAGCAAGCCGCCAGCGACAATTCTAGAGTGTTGATATGATTTTGTTTTGTGATCAGTGTGATTTGTCTCTTGGTCGACGATTGTGGCTTGTACTTCTGGTTATTCCTTTGCCCTGGAACCACTATTACTTTTAGTGCAGACTACCTCAACAATACATTAGTCTTTGCTTTGCCTACTTTGCAGATCATGTCTTTATTCCACTGTATATTCCAAGACAAGGCGCTGCCGCACAAGCATTGTGGTATTCACGCCAATATCATACCGGATACCGGATGGTGTAGCGTAAGGTGAAGGCACGACTTTGAATGGTAAGGCGTGAATTCTAAATACATAAAGCGCTTTATATTGTGAATCTGAATAACATGATTAGACGGGAATGTCGGCAGTAAACAATGTCCACAGTTAATAAGAGTCATCCCCTGCCCAAATTATCAGCAGCACCTATAAAGCCTGCGCCTGCGCCACCTTCCTGTTCCTTCCCTTTCCATGACAAATAGCCATTTGATCAGGATCAAGAAGAATACTTGGTATTCATGGTTTTCCCAATAACTAAGAATGGAATTATGGTCAATTGTCAGACATACACATAACATAACCAGGCTCAAGAGGCTTTATTAGAAAGCTGACTTTGATATACCGCCTTGCCTAACTGTACCCTTTCTTTCTGACATAATAACATATCCACAGTCCGTCAAACTCAAAAGGCGAATGCTACGAATTTGAATTTCGTGACTAGCATTCACAGAGAATGAATTGCATACGAAGTTCCTCATATTTTTAGCCTCATCGATACTGAAAAGAAATAGACGGTGCATACTAATTGCACTACTTCTTCCACCACGTCCCAGTGACCGGTCTATCTGCAGTTTGAGAAGGACCTGGATTTTGGGAACAAGAAATACGTTATATACGGCATGTCCTGAACACCAGCTATGTAGTTCAGTACACAACTACAATCCAGCCAACGCCGGAAAAAAGCCCATACCGTCGAAGTACTCAAAGTGAATATTGTTCGCACAGGGATACCGCTAAGAGAGGGCATATACCGGAGCCCGGAGTGATGCTGTCCTCTTCAACACACTGGACAACAAATAGGAGCAGAGCATAGAGTACCAGAATAGTGCATCCCTTGATCACTTAATGCGTTCGATCAATCTACCATCTCTATGAGAACGATATGGAAATTTATCTGATTATCCCCTCTGAACGCGGATATTTAGTACCGGGTAGAACCGGTTACTCACCCTTGAATACGTGAACAACGCTCATGGATCCTCTTTTTGTGCCACGCCTGAAGGCTGGGTGAGTCAGATATACTCCATATGCTGCTATACATTATTCCGAATGACACATAATAAACGCAATTCCCACTGGCCTGGAGGAACCGCAAGGGGATAGATGTTATATTTATATTCCGGGGCACGATGAGAGAAAGGCAATCGACGAAGGTATCAAGGTGTACTTTGATTTGGTAAAGACTGAATCTTAGGTTTGAAAGTCTCAGAAGAGTCTCCTCATCTTCTCCAGTGACAAGTCTGATTCCAGAACTTCCCGGTAAGTTTTCTTGGCAATATGGAGGTTGTTACTATTGGAAATGGACTATCTCGTCGTAGGACTGGTTTCACGTGACCCTTAATTTCTGTACGCTGCTTTGGCTGTGCTTTTGTCTTATCTACGATCTAATGCTTGATTATACGAAGTGTCATTGTTAGCATACTCTCGCAAAAGCCGAGATGGATGCCAGGTTAGTTCAGAACCGTTCTTTGTGCTCATTTGTGAGGTTCGGTCATTCTGATTATCCGCAGTTTGAGATAAACATCGAACTACGTCGAGGTGTTGAAGAAACTGTATAGACTGTCTGGATGAACAGGCCATTCGCTATGATACAGATGTCGATGGGAAATGGGATAAAGCAAATCTGGTAGTCTATGAAGCTAAGATACTAGGAGACAGGTGTCTATTACACACATCTTGCGAGTTGACAAGCAGCACATTTGTGAACACTTCGACTTTGACTAGTATTTTCTCACATATAGTAACCTCATTATAGAGCGATATATAATGGATACGTGTCTCTGTTGTCTTTTAGGCCAATTATCCCAGTCCGGTTTCATTGTACACCCTCGATAATAATACATCCCGAATAATGTCGTAGATTACTATTGGAAAGTTACTTAGAAAAGCGGTGTAGTAATGGAAGCTAAAAGACGAATCATCTTCTACTAGCAACTGTTGGTGGAGACAGTCAGATGTGGAAGGCCATGTTGCATCCAAGCCACTGCGCCAATTGCTTCCCGGCTAATCGAACGAAGAATTATTTGAATCACCTTCTCCGCTAGATTCAGCGGTTGCTCACTCTTCTGTCGTGAACAGGAGATCAATACTTCCTACCACTATAGAGAACGCCATAGCCTGCCTGATTATCTGGCAGATGAGACTCACAGTCTCCTGCTGATCGAAGTTCCAGGATAAATCCAATTTAGCAAAATACTGCATTTTGGATATGGGTTAAGCTTGGAAAAGAGCAAGAAAAGTAGCAACCACGAGAGGTATATGAGATTTCTTACTTTCCCGTCATCAATGATGTGGAAAAAGTTCCAATGATAGGCGTCTATGAATTCCGTAAATTGACCTATACTCACCGGCCTCTTTGTGCACGCGATGGATAGCGACTGTGTCGGATGAAGTTAGTCAATCACCTTCGCAATTATGTATAGCACTGACAGAACAAAAATAAACTGGGTGAGCTTGATACGTACTGATAGAACACTGTCGACTAACGATTTCTAGCAATGATACATCATGCTCGCCAAATGGCCGGCCGTAAGGATACCTCTCTCTACGGGCTCGCAACGCATGGTTCTTGCTGGGAATTCATTCGGTCGGATAACGATGACAAGATAACCCTCGTAGGAGCAGATAGTGCACTCTCATCCTATTCTCGACAGACAAAATGTTTAGTACACGAGGCACCGTTATGAAGGGGAACAGGGAGAGGCAAAAGGGGTTATATCAATCTTGAAAAGGATCATTACCCACGCTAGCGGGTTAGTCAATGGTTTGGCGCGTTGCAGTAGCTTCGAGAAGTTGAGCGGGCTTGAGTCTGCGCAACCTTAGTAGACGTGGGTCCGGAAGGGAGGAGATGTAAGATGGAGATTTTGGAGCAAGAATGCTATTTCAAACGCTAGACATACCGATCAGCCAACCAACGACATTTTAGGCGGATGACCGCATCACTATGCTCCCAACACGAGTATGCATTTCCTAGAGCAATATGGCCTGGAATGAGATAAGCCGCAGTGGCATCACGGCGCAGTTTGAAATGGTGATACAAGGGGTGTGATTGAAGGTCTGACAGTTATTCTCCGCGCGGGTGAAACCATTATGGACCGATACGAAGTGATATGATGTGATACGGACGATGTAGCGAAGAGAGACCTCTTTCTATTGTTCGCCCAGTTCTAGATATGACATCGTATGATTATGTGAGGTCAAGGGGGTTGCTTCTTCTCTGGGCGGGTTTGTGATCGTGGCTTCCACATCAACGCATTGCTACCCGAATCCGGTGCATATATGAACCCACGTCGTATATGATATTGAGCAAGGAATTGTAAAGTTGACCAATAATATAAAAGAACACCATATCTCAGGAGTATACTAGTAGCACCGTATTCGGGGCCTTCGTTTCCTTCCGGGGATATATATCACTCGGCTTTGCGTATCACCTCATCTCATCCCATTATCTCACCACATCCGACTTCTCTTCGCTGAACATCCCTTCCCGTCCCGGGGATATTTTATATTCCGCTTCATATCGGACAATGAGAGGTGTCCTTCCCCGAACGACAAGAATATAAATATCCTCCGTGCTTAGTGACCAAACTACGTCAAGATGAATCTCAGATCACCCAGCACCAAGCTCCTCATGACCCTCAGCATCATCACAACCACCATGTCCAGTACCACTAGCACCAGTCCAATGCTAACCCGCGACGTCTGCATCATCGGCGGCGGCGCAGCAGGAACCTACGCTGCCATCCGTCTTCAACAACTCGGCAAGTCCGTTGTCGTAATCGACCACAAACCGCGTCTGGGCGGACAGACAACCACGTACACCAATTCAGCCATCACCCCGCTTCCTATCGAATACGGGGTGACCTACTACCAGAACATGTCTATTGTGCGGGACTTTTTCGGTCACTTCAACATACCGCTGACCTACTCGGCATTCGATTACAAGATCGACATGTTTGACTTCGTCACGGGAACGGCCATACCTGCTACTGCGGAGGCGGAATCCAACGCTGCTATGGATCGCTATATCGCGCAGTTGAGAGAGTACCCGTATCTGAGGGTCGGGCTTGAATTACCTGATCCTGTGCCGGAGGATTTGGTGATGCCATTCGGAGAGTTCGTGGACAAGTATGATCTGGAAGCTGGGGTTGGGGACTTGGGGGGTTCAATTGATCCGTTGGGAGATTGGCCTGATTTGCCGACGCTTTACGTAATGAAGTACGCGAATTTGGATGTTTTGGAAGGCGATAAGACTGGGTTTGTGAGACCAAAGAGTCGGAACAATAGTGAGTTGTATGGGGATGCGGAGAAGGAGTTAGGGGAGGAGGGATTACTGTTGGGGAGTAAGGTTGTTAGCATGGATCGGGATGGGAGTGCGGACTGGGTCTATGTGACGGTGAGAAAAGGAGAGGAGGAGAGAACGGTCCAAGCTAAAAGCTTGGTGGTGGCTGTGCAGCCGAGCTTGGACAGTCTGAAAGGGTTTGACCTCGGGGTTAAGGAGAAGACTCTGTTTGGACAGTTCAACAACTTGTTCTTCTATACGGCATTGGTGCGAGTCAAGGGGCTGCCAGATCGGACTTGTTACATGAATCGTGGGGCAAACGATCCGTTCTTGATCCCGCAATTGCCTGGGATGCTTGTGCTCAAGCCTACGGAGGCATCGGAGCTAAAGGTGGCGAATTATCTCAGCACGAAGGCGTTGTCGGAGGAGGAGGTGAAACAGGGTATGCTTCACGATATGGAAAGCATCCGCCGGAGAGCAAAAGTCGACTTCCCGGACCCAGAATTCCTCGCCATTGGGGATCATAGCCCGTACCAGCTGACGGTTCCGGCTGAGGCCATCGAGAACGGATTCTACCGTAATCTCAATTCCCTGCAAGGGGAGCGTCGGACGTTTTACACCGCGGCCACATGGGAGTCTCATAGCACACCGCAGATCTGGGAGTTCACCGAGCAGATGTTGCAAAGCCGTCTACTAAAGTCGCTGTGATAACTTAATAGCCGATGTCGAGATAGAAGTTCTGTGAATATGAGCAGATTCTAGCGTATCACTTTCATGTAGGTCGTTGTACTTAGCTTGTAACAAGTCCGCAGATCCTTGCGGGAGGCACCGGCAGCAGAGTAGAACTGGGATACCGTCAGACAAAGCAGATAGGGCATGTAATTTCCGAAACTCCGCGGTTGTGCGTCCATCCGATGGGCCACGGAAATGATTCGACAGGCAGCCGAGACCGAGGCCGTCAGCTGTGGAGAGCCGAGTTTCAATGTCAGCTGTGAAACGTTGTACAGGCGTTGTCATTCCCTCACACAGACGTTGGGTGACCGATAACCCAGATCAGACATGACCAATTGGATATTCTCCGATCAGGAAGTACGAGAGATCAGACCTGCGCACAGACTGTTGTCCCGAGACAGGTGTAACCATATTTCAACTTCATGTAGGACAAGGCCAACGAATGTTGATCAGATAGTTGCAACATATTCCATCATTAACAAGAAATTGCCAAAATAATCACAGAAACAACGGACTTCGCCGGGCCATCCTGATTTAACCCGAGCTGAGCTCAGTATATGGAGCCAATTGCTACTCAACACACCGGAATTTCGCTTCCTGCTTCCACTCACTGGCAATCTCTAGCTGACCAGTCTGGTCATTAACAGCCAAGAAACGATTACTGTAATCTCCACCAGGTACGATGGGGATCAGCCCGTACTATGATGATCGGGAGGCCACGCGTCAGTAACGTAGGATCCAACGGCGACTAATGTTGCGGCATGCCAGCTTACCTCCAGTGCGCCATCGCTGTAACCACGTGTCTCAACCCAGATGTTATACACACAGTTATCATACAGGAAGACTACCTGGAAGCGCTGGATGAGATCATGTGTACTGGATGTAACAAGAAGGGGATTACATACCTTGTCTGGGTTTCCGAACTTCCCAATCAACTTCGAGTGCGAGAGCGAGTCATTAGCACCAATTCGCAACGGATAGGAATAAGGAGCGACCAACGCCATCGTCACGACAGAGCCAGAACTCGCCATTAGCCCGGAGCTTATTCCCTGGGCTAGGCTGGTAGTCGTTTGAATGGAGAGACAGGCGATTCTCGTCTTCGATGGCCAGAACACGGCCGGTGAAGGAGGTGAAGAGACCAGAGTGACTCGGCATTTTGCAATGGATTGACAGTGGGCCAAAATCATGAAAGCTACTGCAAGCACTGTGATGGTAATTTTAATGTAAAACTGGAAGGCTGGGGACCGTAGCTTAAAGCGGGAATCTTTTTATGACGTGCTCCATCGCATCGCATGATGCAAAAATGTAGGATCGTACCAATTCGAGCGTTTCATGGCATCGGCTCACTGTGGCTGGCCATGGCCCTCGGGGCCTTTGCTGTAGGGGGGGGGGGGTTGCTCCGCTCTTTCCAAGTAATATGATGAAACATAGTCGGCCAGTAAGCCTGGAGACCTGGTCTTGGAACAAACAAGAAATACGGCGATGATGATGAAGTCATTATTAGGAGAGAGGAGCGTGCTGCGAACACGAACATTGAATCTCACATCATCTCCAGCGGGAATGCCGTTTGAAGTCTCCTGATGTCTCAATGCTAAGCGACCACAGCAAATGCTGTAAACAGCAGGACTTTATATGACACCACACGCCTTGCATGGCTTATTTGAACCTCCTCGGATTTGCATTCCATAAGCCATGATTCCGCGTCTTTATTTTTTTCTGTGCATTCTGCGGGAAACACAAGCACAATGGATCAGGCGAACAATGACAGCAAAAAGACACATTGCTTTTCCCAGGCAACAGTGAATGCCACGTGGGCTGCCAGGCTATCGCCAATGAGCGTGCAGGCGGTTCATCAGGCATCGGCGTTCCAGGAAGAGATGGTTGTTGCAACGATTGCGGACAGCAAACATCAGGTCAATGTGGAAGCACAACACTTCATCTGTCGTGAAAGACTCAATGTGGCTCACTTGAACAATGCCACTCATGCACTGGCCCGAAGACATGTTGTCCTACGTTCCCTCTTTTGCTGGAATGATCATGCCACAAAACAACATCCGGCCCGGATATTGATGTTAGTTCTTGGACCCGATTACCCAGTAGCGAATATCAAGCTTGTCAGTGAAGAACCGACTCAGGATACGAATACAGAAGATTCCCCTATCGACTTTCATGTACTGGGTTTATCTGACGCTTCAGAAATTCGTCAATGGCATGGAGAGATGCCATGGAGGTTAACAATCAACTCATTGCCTGACCAGAAAGGTTCTCGTCTATCACTGTGCTACCATACCGCAATCCTGGACGAGTCTTCGGCTTGTCGGATGTTGCGCTACCTGTGGGATGAGCTGCAGGCCCCCGGTTCCACCGTCGTGTCCGACTTCATTGCAGCCCACAAGGGCCTGGCTTTCCGACGCAGCCATGATATGCAATGTCGGGTTCGAGAAAGATTTGCGGGAGCACCTCCTCTCCTAGCCGTCCTCGGTAGCACAAAGCCACTTGACAGAGAGGGGTATGGTGTGACGATCGACAAAGTGGCTATGCCTTACGCTCGGGCCGATTGCCTGTTGCGAGCGCGGCAGGCCTTATATATGGCACTCTGCACATTGGACGGGACACAAGAGGCCACATTTTTAGAGTTAACGCCACACAGAGGAGCACTCCCCTCGAACCATAGAGAGGTTTTGGGTCCAATTCTACAGCCTCAGATTCGGTGGACTCAACATGATAGCCACACATCACTCCTAAGAGTTGCCGAAAGTCTTGCTTCGGGATGCGACATTAACCACGCCTTCTCACCTGGCGAGCTGTGCTCCTTCATTTCGAACGCGGCATATCGACCTTCAGTGTCTCTTATTTGTCACATCGAGTCATGTGCCTCCACTGGAGTCGGAACCTGGACTTGGGAAGGCAAAGATTCATGGTCAGATGTCCCTTTGGTAATCGAACTGATTCCATGTGGTGGGGATTCCTACCTCGTTCGCAATTGCTACCACCGTGACCTGTTCACAGACAACACCATTGCGGCATTCCGACAGTTCTTCTGCGCATCCCTAGAATGGCAACAACATGAGCATGATACAAGGAGAGACATTACTCTCGAGTTTGCGGTCCACAGTATCCTGAGTTCATGTCCCGATGCAGGTGTCCACCTGGAGAACCAGAAGAAAATCCAAACCAACAATAAGCATGTCGGCGAGTCACCAGAGACTATCATGCTCAGCACTACATCTCACATTACCATAGAGAAGTGCACTGGACATGGACATTATTCTCTGAGTAACATGAGGGCCGAAGGTGGTGCATGTGCGCATGACCTGCTGGAGCGGAGTGCTAGAAGATTTCCGGAGAAGATTGCCTTGCAATATGAAATCTCCGACTATTTGACATATAAGGACTTGAACGATCGTTGTGATCAGCTTGCTGAATCCTTAACTTATTGGATCGATCGTACCCAACAAACGTCTCCTGGTGAAGAAATCATTATCCCACTTTCATTCGACAAAGGTTTTGAGCTAGTTATAGCTATGTTCTCGGTGCTGAAGGCAGGGGCAGCTTTCGTGCATATCGATGCAAGTCTGCCAGCTAGCCGAATAGCGGGGATCATTCGGAAGGCAGGGGCGCCATTTATTCTTTACGATGGAAAGGCTGACACGCCTACGTTGAACGAAGTTGCCAGGAGGGAAGGCAAGGCAATCGTTGCGCTCAACGAATTGGCCAGGATGCAGGACAAGCATACACTCCCGTTCATCCGGAGTGAGCAACTAGGTTCATCGCTTGCGTACATTCAAGTGACATCTGGAACGACTGGAGAGCCTAAGTGTATCATGATCGAGCACCGTAACTTGGTGGCTTTCATGGAAGCCGACGAGCCGGATTTTCTAGGAACCTGGACGACCAACAAGCTGCAGCTCTCAAACCGCACCTTTGACATAGCCATGGCAGACATATTTGGCACATTGGGTCGCGGAGGAAGATTAGTGTTTGGTCCAGACGCAGCCATACTGTCCTCTCTGGCAGAATGGCTGGAGATGACCAGCGTTACGGATCTGAATACGTCTCCCTTGGTCGCAGATTTGCTGAAGGACCATGTCCCAGCTTACCTGAGCGTCCTGATGGTCGGCGGAGAGCCTTTCCACCCCTCCCTCGTAGAGGGTATCCCTAAGGAGTGTCGATTATACAACAACTATGGCCCAAGCGAAACAACCTTCGTAGCGACGACATACACTGTATCAGAGGAGGATAAAGATAAGTCAAACGTCCCGATTGGACGCTCTTTTGGATCCTGTAGTATTCATATACTGGCACCTGAAGGCACTGAAAGGGTCAAAAGCGGAGACATTGGCGAACTCTGCATCAGTGGGTCCCAAGTATCGAGGGGTTACCTGGGACAGCCCGAGATTACTGGCAGAAGTTTTGTCTCAGATCCTTCTGCGAAAGATGAGAAATGCAAGCTATATCGCACTGGAGACCTTGGACGATTTCTACCCAACGGAAAACTGGAGTATACCGGGCGCAAAGATAAGCAAGTGAAACTTCGAGGGCAGCGTGTCGAAACACTCGAAATAGAAATAGAGATGAGGAAGCATCCTCGAGTGAAGGCTTGCGCAGTCGCCACAGGCGACTCGAGCCATGGAATAGCGCTCGTTGCATTCATTGAGACACAACCGAACCACCAAGACTCATTTACCGATGCGACAGCTGAAGAGTGTGACTGGGCGAATCTGGTAGCTGAGCTCAAGACCGTTCTATCCCAGAGCCTGCCAGATTATATGATACCAGCGCGCATTGTGAGGCTTGATGATGGCTTACCTCGTTTACCTAGCAACAAGCTTGATCAGAAAGCACTGTCATCTCGGGCAACAGAGGTTTTAGCAAGCCAAGCATCCCAAGCGGGATTGGAATACGTCCATCCGCGGGACGAATTGGAAAGGCATGTCTGTGAAGCTTTCAGCAACGTGTTTTCTTGCCAGGTTGGCATTACAAACAGTTTTCTGGATCTTGGAGGACACTCTGTCACAGCGATACGGGTGGCGAGTAAAATAAGGAAACACCTCCACACTGTTATCACCTTCCGGGATGTTTTAGAATGCTTGACTCCGGAAACGCTGAGTGCGCGCATTCGTGCTTCTGCAGGAAGCAAACCGCAAAGCCTACGGACCTATCGAGCTCCAGATAGCATGACTGTTGAGCAATCCTTCGCACAAGGCCGCTTGTGGTTCTTGGAACAGCTCCATCCAAATTTGAGCTGGTACCACATGCCACTTGCATTCAGGTTGCGAGGGCGATTGCACCTCGACGCCTTAGAGGCCGCTTTGCTAGCGCTTGAACAGCGTCATGAAACGCTGCGAACAACATTTGAAGTGAAAGGCGACATGAATGTACAAGTAGTCCAGCCCTTTTTGCCGAAAGCTATCCGAATCTTGGATCTTACTGGGGACCATGGTCCTGGTGACGAAAGGCTTTACTCAGTCCTTCGCAGTGAACAGACAAAGCCATTCAACCTTACGGATGAACCCGGGTGGAGAGTCGCCGTGGTGCGAGTTAGCTCCCAAGAACATGTTCTTTCACTCGTTATCCACCATATAATTGCAGATGGATGGTCTTTGGGGGTGGTCTTGCGAGAGCTCGCATTGTTCTACTCTGAGGCCCTCCATGGGAAAGATCCCTCGTTGATATTACCGCCCCTACCCATCCAATACCGAGGGTACTCGCTATGGCAACGTCAGGAAGAACAGCTTCGGCAGCAACAGCGTCATTTAGCGTATTGGACACAACAGCTGCGAGGCAGCCACCCGGCCGAATTTCCGTGTGATAAGCCTCGGCCTGATGTGCCATCAGGACAGGCTGCTGTGAGGGGAATCAAGATAGGCGGTGCTTTGTACAGTGATTTGGAAAGGCTCTGCAAGCGACATTCGATAACACCCTTCATCGTTCTACTGGCGGCCTTTCGGGCAGCTCATTACCGAATGACAGGGGCAGCTGATGCGACTATCGGCACTCCAATCACCAATCGCAACCGTGAGGAACATGAAGATATAATTGGGCTATTCGTGAATATGCAGTGTATGAGAGTCGAAATTTCGGAAAGCGATTCCTTCGAGGTACTGGTTCAACGAGTAAAGGAGACAGCAGCGGCGGCTTTCGAACACAATGAG